GATGTAACGTGCGAACCACCTACTTCGATTTCAAATTTACTGCCACAAATAAAGACAGTTTCCATTGGAGAAAGGAAATACAAATCTCAAAAATTCTTGTATTGTGATGAAAACATAAAACAATTTTGAGGAATGCGCCCCCTGTTCACTGCTTTGGATTAGCTATAGCTCAAGCTGACTTGACTGTTAGAGTTCTACATCACACGACGGTTGATTGACAACTGATCCAGAGGTACCTAAGGCACCTCTCCTTTTATAGCGCGCCTTCGTGTTTAAATGATAGAAGAAAAAACTTATAATACACCTTTGAGCTTTCCTTCTGCCCATGGGAAGTCTGGAACCAATCTCTAGAGACCCAGGTAATAATGGATAAAGGAATAAATGTTGGTGTACGAACAAAAGTTTACTTTCACCAACATGACGGCAATGACGTAACGTGGAAACCACCTGATAGATCTTTTGTTTTGCCGTTTCTTAGTCCTCAGTCGGCTAAAAAAAACGAAACTATTCTTCTCAGCCGTAGATATTTTAATCCATGTAAGATTTTAGGATAACGAATGAGCTATTCACAATCGTCTTCAATCTAGCTTTTCTTCCAGTCATATTTCCAAATTAAACCCATGCACGTTTTCGCCAATGTTAGCGTTCCACCCCTACAATTACACGACGACGATGGCAACGAGGACATGACAAAAAAAAAGTTTTAAGGATGGTACGAAAGCTTAGCAACTGTTCTTTACAATTTTTGAATACTAAACATCAACGTCGGATCCAAAAATTTTCGTTGTCCGAGAACTGGGAGCCTCGACGCCAAAAATGATTTCAACTTCTCTAATCTTGAACTAAAGGTTTTTTTAAAGGAAGCTCAATTTATTTTCAGTCTCCAAACAGCTTTACGTGAAACGGTTAAGTTTGAAGAAAGTGCACAACTATAAATCAAAATGCATCTACAACTATAAACCACTCATTCCTTTGGCGATTCTAAGTGAAAAGGACTTACATTTCAGAGACATGAGTATATAACACATGATTTATATAAAAGACAGTTTTTTCAGCCCAAATCGAAACACTATGTCGGCAGTATTGTGTGGCAACAAGTAAACTGATTATTGTCTCCACGAGCAAAATATGTTTGCAGTTTCAGGTTTTACGTATGATGCACGATCGTCGCAGTATAGAGCGCTATCTATGCAATAGCGAAAATCAGACCTGAAAAAAAATCAGGCCTGTACGGGATTCGAACCACTGACCTCTGCGATACTAGTGCAACACTCTACCAATTGAGCTAACAAGCCAACTGGGAGCAGGCCGTTAAGTTGATTCGTAATAATAAGTTGATATCTCATTAGCTTCTTTTGTGCGTCCACCAGCCTTTGTTCCTTTCACCATTGTTACTGTGTCTCTAGAAATTGGTTGAAAACCACCTATTGTGGCTCCAGGGGACGGCTTACATAATATTTTATTTAAGTTATCAAAGAAATAAACAACACAAATAATATCCTAAAAAGGAATTTTAAGAGGTTAACCCTTTGTAAATAAACTTTCAAAGAAATAAAATTTAAAAATGTATGCTTATAATAATCTACAAGAATACAGGGCTACTGAGGTCCACCTTGTCGGCATGCTTTGAAGAACGAGGCAGAAAACAAAAGAATGCATTGTGATTCAATGAGATGAAAATGAGTGGCCCTGTATTCTGTAGTTTTGTCATATTGAAGAAAATATAAGATGGATAAAATACCTAAGAAATGCGCATGTATAATTTACGAGCTGATTTGAAACGTGTTAAGTAACCTATCTCAACGACATTGGCGGGCTGGCCCCGGTTGTTCGGAGGGCGGATAGCGATATACACTGGATAAATCTCTATCCAGTGGATAGCGCAGTACGTTTTGGTAACACTTATCCGCTGGATAGCGATTTATCCGTTGGATAGCGTTATCCGTCCTTTGAACAACCGGAGCCTGGTCATTCCGTTCACGAATGATTTTAACAAAAAAAGAGTATTTATAACAATTACGGTTCGCCAATTTCACCTGCAGTTTGTATCCGATGTCTCACAGTCTTGGCTAGTTTTAGTCCCTGAACATTTTTTATCATAGAGTCATCAACGATGACAGTGGTCAGTGGTGCGCTCGTTATTTATCGTTTGAGGTAGAATTGCGGGAAAGATTTCCGTATAACCCCATACCAATCAAAAACAAAGCCGTAGCCCCAAAGAAATCTATTTTTTTGCCTCAGCTTTCCTTTATCCAAGAATTGAAAGCATAATCAAGTACGGGGTTAGACGGAATTCTTGCCGAGTTACGGGCTGGTATCTTTCTTCCAACTGTTAATTGACGCTCTCTCTTTTTGTTTCTGGGCATTGTCTTACATATGATGC